TCATATTCGTGACGATGTAATCAAAGCACTAAATATAGAAGGTTTGGATGTCTTGGAAATACCTGGTGGAACGACTAATGTTTTGCAGCCACCTGATGTTTCAGTAAACAAGCCTTTCAAAAGTGGAATGAGAAAAAAATGGGAAGAATGAATCGAAAAAGGAAAAAAGGAATTTACTACAAAAGGAAACCGCAAAAAAGCTTCATATGAACTTGTTTGTGAATGGGTATCTGAAACATGGAAAGAAATTAGTTCAAATGTTTTAGTCAAATCTTTTGAATCAACTGGTCTTACTTTGAATCCTGATGGTAGCGAAGATCACAAGATGTCACATCGTCTCCAAGCAATTATCGAAAACCGTCTAGATGATATTGATAAAGATGAAGAAAGTATATGTTTAGAGGATGAAGAGAATAAAAATATAATGGATATGGATATGGATGATATAGATATGAATAGCATGAATGTAGACAATGATATGGATGATATAGATATAAATGGTATGAATATAGACGATGATATGGATAATAATATGGTATATAATAAAAATTCAACGAATAGCGAGGATATAATGAATAAGTACATAACAGATAAAGAGTATAATAGTAAGTATCTATACATTTTAACATTAATGGAATTCATTAATATTACTTCTTTATTTAATTGCATATAATATAAAACTATTAGGATAAATTCGAAGAAATAAAAAGAGCGTTAGGAAATTTAGAATTAATGATTCGACATTCAAGATAAAATGAGTAATGTATTTATTTCAAAAGAACATACAAAACTTATTTTTTAGAGTATATATAATCATTTACTGATGAATGCTTATTACCGGCTATGTCTATTTAATAACAGAAAACAGGATCTCATTTATTTTGATCTGAAATCCCCATTCGACAAATCTGTTAATGCAAAAAAAAATGAATAAATTTCTGAAACAAATAAAGTTGTGATTTTACCATCTGTGCTCTATAAAATAATTGACATTCAATACTTTGGATAATTATGGTAAACTATTTTTTGAATTAGATATAATTATACGAAAAAAGCATTGCATTTTCTAGATAGTAAAAAAGAAGGAAATACTATATATGCAAAGAATTCAGTAAATATAGTGATTGAGCATCTGATTGACCAGCTACTCTCAGGACTCGACCGATAAAGTTTAAAGGATGGATCCGATAGCACTGTTGTTTTGATGATCAATGAGAACTTCGAGACAAGTGAGAAGATACCTGCCAAGAAACCAGAAAGGTGATCCGGATGGTGAAAAAATCATTATACTATTGCTTGCTCCGATTTTTAAAGGATCAAAGAGCCCGCTTTTCCTATATATGTGAAAGTAGAAGTTAGAGGTATATTTTGAACATTGATCTGAATGCCAATAAGAAGATTAAAGAAAGCTTTCTGCGAAACCTTACAATACCTTTGTTGCCGGTTTTCGATTCCTCAGTCTATAAAGTCCCAGATTAAACATGACTGTACTTCTCATAATGTGTCAGATTTGAGTTTGACTCGATGTAACTCATTTGATAGTAATTCGGGTTTGAGTTGGGTTGATCATCAACTCAAACCTCAACCCGAAGATCATCGGATCAGATTCGGATTATATGTTATGAAATTTGATTGGCTATTAGAAGTGTTTTATCACATGGATAATTTTTTTGTTAGATATTAAACATCTTTATTTTATATGCCGATTAAGCTCTAGCTTTTGAAACATTTTTGGATTTGGTTGGTTTTAAATACTTGTTAACTTTCTCTCAATCAATTTTTTTTTCGGAAACATTTATTTTTCTGTTAGAAACCACTAGTTTCAAATTTCTATTAATTACATTAACGAAATTACAAATATATTGAATAATCAAGCAACACGATGAGTTTACTATTTAAGGTTTGAATTTTATTTAATATTTATAGTCTTTCTTTTATTATATTGGTACTAACTTATACACGGCTAACTCTAATCTTGTCCTACAAGCAAATCGTTTAGAATTACCACGTCGAGATCATGAGCCTTCTGGTAAGCTAGAATCGTTATGGAAAAAATCAACTGGAAAGATTTTGGTACCAGGGTACAAAGGGACACTAAAAGATTTACAAGTAAGTGCAGAAAGCTACAGAAGTGGAAGAGAAAAAGAGACGAAGAGGTGAGATTCATTTTATATACCTTTTTTTCTTTTGAGTTGTTTTTACTTGATATTTTTATTAAATACAATTGTTTTTTTAGTAGATTAAAAAAGTCAATTGATATTATAATGTATTGGCGGCTACTGAACATTTTGATGGGTTATCTTACAGACCACGGACAAAAAGAGACTTGAAGAGACATAAGAATTGACCTTAGCATTCGTTCATCAAACCTCGGTGATCAAGCACAAGATATAATTTGAAGTTGTAGACAACATTCTGCAAATTTTTAAAAATGATTTACTCAAGAATTTTGACAAGAAAAGAGATATTGAAACGGTTATTGGTACCATTTCACCAAATAAACTTGCGCAACTAGTGAATTTGAGGAAAAAATAACGGATTAGCATTCTGGGGATGCCACGAATAACAGTGAATTCAAACGAGATTGATGATGAACTTGGAATTACCGTAGTATTTAATAAAGAGAAAGATGAATTTGGAAAATACGAAGTTTGAATGGATTATTAAAGAACTTGGAGGAGAGCAAATTCATCGTGATGAAATTGCCGCCCAAAAAGGTGCGCAATAGATTTTTTTTTTTATTTTTTTAATGCACTACTAATTATTGTGATACACGTTCTTTCAAGTAATGGAATAAATAATAAATCTGTGCCAGCACATGGTCCAATTTCCGCTTCTGTCAAGATACTTTGCATTCAGTAAAGACGGAAATACCTAAAGCTGTAATTTATCGATCTCATAAGGTTTCTAAGATGTTGAAGGTGGTATCTATTTTGCTAGAGT